CGACAGTCATCTGTCATCATAGGGCACATTTTATTTGATTTTTCGCCCAACAAGCTCATCAATCAATACTAGATGAAAAGTGAAGTTGACCTCCGAACTTGAATATAAGCAAATTATTGCGTCGAAGTGGATGGAAAGTTCTGAATCTTATGGAATTGGGAGACAAGAGACCCTCCACCGGTCTATTGACGACAGGTGGAAGCTTTTACTTTCGGGGATTCAACACTTCCTTATGAACAATTATAAGGGAGCAACAGTCATCACTCTTTTTTCGGCTGTTGACCTACCTTCATGGTGGATGATGAGCTTCGGGTGACGTCATGAGCCAAACAAGTTTCCCAAACCTTGGCTTGTTTCCTGAACAAAACTGCCAACACGTTGTTAAACATCAACCATGTAGGTAAGTCAACAGTTAATAATTGTTGAAGTTCCGAAAGTAAAAGCTTCCACAATGTACGAGATACGTGTGGAGGGTCTCTTGTATTTTGGAGTTGGTGACATCGGTGTAATCAGTTTAAATCCATCAGAATTGACAAATCACAGAGCATCCCATCAGATGCGCCAAGTCCCTAGTATTTTCAGGGCTTGGTATTATGCCGCAATCACACGCTGAATGTGGGAGCTGAATGTGGCTTGAATGTGGAAGTCATCGTCCCCATGTCTGAATTTTGTGCGTGACACGCAAAATTCAGCAACGATTCTCAGCGACCATCGGATAATTTCGGATTTGTCTGTACTATTTGAATAGATTTGATACACATCTGGATGAAAGTAACTCGAATTTGCGAGATTTCAGCTGTTGAGCAACGACTGTTGACTCCCATATTCAGCTGCCAAATTCAGCGTGTGATTGCGGCAGAAGATCCAATTCCGAACGAATTCTGATCATGATAGACCACTCGATGACCGTCAGGAACCAGGCAACTATCTTCTTTGATCAAAATTGGACAGCCACGCAAGACGGAAAAATGGAGCTCCACCATTTATTATTTCTTGGGACACGAAAAAGGTTCAGCCAAGTTTTGATTTGAAACTCTAAAAATCGATACTATTTCCGAACCTTCCAGATTTTCCTGAACGGGAAAAGAGTATAGTTCCCGATTTCCCCGCACGAGCGTTCAACAGCGCTGGCGGCGGTAAGTGTTTACTCTGTGTATCAGGGACTGACAGTCTTGTAATTTGCTGCTCAAGCGTCCGACAGGATCACGTGCAAAGTGTCATTGTCAGTTAACCTCTACAAACACCCCTGTCCCTGTCCTGCAACCTGCAAGCTGCGCACCCTTTTTTCTCCGCCAACCCTCCCCCCCCCCCCNCCTCCGACAAGACTCCCGTTTTTTGCACCGATAGCGCGAGGCGTTAATTTAAATACCAGTTCACGTCCTGCCAAGTGCCAAGGAAGGGACATGAGGAGGGAGGAAGAGTCGCTTCCGTCGTTCGTGGTGTCAGCGTCGAAGGGAATCGTCAAATTCCCAATCCAAATATCCTAACCACAATTCCATCACAAAAAATACTTTCACTGGTAAAAAAAGTCGCTTGGATCTAGAGTCCAGACTCTTAATAGCATTGACAAGAAAAAATACTCTTGACTCAATTCGATTTTTCCTTGAATCGAAGCGCCGAGCCTCTTGATTCAGGCGGATTTCCTCTTGATTCGAGCAAAAAGTCCGATCGAATCAAGAGTATTTTCTCTTGTTAATGTTTTTAAGAGTCTGGACTCTAGATCCAAGCGACTTTTTTCCAGTGTTGTTAACACGTATTTGGACCGAGTTCATCAGAAAGGAACTAACCCACATTAAGTTGAAACTGAGACAAACAGGTTTGTAGTTTTATTCCTGCATAAGGCTCAATGTAGAAAATAAACTTTAACCCCTGCTCTCTTCACGAACCAATTTCTTTTTTCCGACTTTTAGTTTTTGGCAGGAGAAAACATACGGTTAGGAGAACTTAAAAATATTCTTAATCTAATTTTTTCGAAAATTTGGGTTGGTTCTTTTATGATAAACTCGGTCCATTGGCGAACGTTCAAGGAAAGAGAGACTTCACGCCACGGAGAGAACATTTTCAGGGGTCGAGTTGGGCTGAAAAATTAGATTTTATGATTGCGACGAAAGACCCTTTAATGTCCTAGATAGAAGTTTAGAAGTGTTGTGTGTTTTCATTTTTCCTTTATTTTTTTGGATGGTCATTTGGACTATACTCTGAGTTAAGAACCTACAGATGTTATTTATTGTCCTTTTCTAATTTTCAAAGATTAAACCCAAGTAGAGTCTATTTAAGCAGGTTCAAATAAAAAATGAAAACACAAACACAAGCTACAAATAAAATCCATAATATGTAAGTAGCCAGACTCTTATCAATTCCTTGGTTAGCACAGGGATATTACCCCGGCCTCCTAGTTATTAATTGAAAGGAATTGCTATTCCTACAAGCATAATGTCTTTTTACTTTAAAAACTAAGCAGGTTCACATGTTAGTTCCGTTCCTTTCGACAGAACACGAATTCTCAGGGAAAATAGTAAATATTTATTTTCCAATTTGCCATGAATTTTTTTTCGTAATTTCATATAAAATGTAAGACAATTTAAAAGACAAATTTTCATAACTTTCTTCCAAAATAAATCATTTCTGAGAGGAAATTTGGCAAAATCTGAAGGAGCATACGGCGTTTTCCCTGAGCACGGGAGCACGAACCGGTGACCGGGCGACAGGCGCTAAGTTTTTCCACTCGAAACAAAAACACCGACGAGGGTTCTATTGGACGTATTTCTATCAAACGGAACTATGTGCATTATGACGTGAGCCCTGTTGTGCGTGTATTCTTGTGGGTCTCAGGGCTCATGTCTCAATGCACATAGATCCATTTGATAAAAATACGTCCTATTGGCCTTGCTGAGGCGAGACGGGGCAATAAACCGGGCGCGACCGGCATTAGTGTCTAAATGTGCTGCTAAATGCTGCTTTGCATGATGTTTCACGCTTATTCATTAGGGAGTCATAATCTCAGCCTTTTATGACTCATCCTTATTATTTATTCAACGACCCAAATGATTTATCGCCCCCCCGCCCCCGCTCACCCCCACCTGTCGCGAGGTTTTGATCCCTCCAGGAGTAGCTTCCGATTCGCGATTGAATTGTTTTCCATCCCCAACATTTTCCTTCCTCTCAAATGGACGTATTTCTATCGAAGAGAACTATGTGCAGGTGGGAAAGATGGGGTGTCCTCGTTAGTGCTCGGGCCATAAGAATAAATGGACGTATTTCTGCCAGACGGAATTATGTGCATTAAGACATGAGCCCTGATACCCATAAGGATATATGCATAACAGGGCTCATATCATAATGCACATAGTTCCGTTTGGCAGAAATACGTCCAAATGGGAAATATAAAGCGCCAGTGACGGAGCCACCACCGCGGTCGCCGGGCTACGTCCTTAACTCATGAGCCCTGGCCACAAGGCTCTAGATACATGCCCAATTCTCATGTGTGCCGCGTTCAGTTGACTCAAAATTCCGTTTGCTGAATTGGGAAACCGGGATTTTACATTTTGTCAAACGGAACTATGTGCACAGTGTATGAGCCATGGGCATGTGTCCAGAGCGTTGTGGCCAGCAGACCAATTATCGAAATTTATAGACAAAGCTATAGACAAAGAAGACAAAAGAGATATGGAGGGATCCTATTGGTGGAAGCGGGTGGTTGCAATGGACAAAGGAGGTAGGTAATAGACTAGGTAACGGCAACCCTCGAGGGACCCGACAGTTAGTCGATCATTTTCTCCCTTAGTCTATAGGAACCACCCATTTCAATCAATAGGATAGCTCCATACTCCCTATGTCTTCTTTGTCTATCGCTTTGTCTATCAATTTCAATAATCGGCCCGCTGGGCTCATGAGTACAAATCCGTCCAAATGGGTCGATTCCAAAAAAACATTTTAAACGAAAAACCGAATGAAATTACGATATAAGCAGGTGTAAAAATCTGGAATCCGCATCTTAACTAGACCTGCGAGGCGATTATTGAAATCAATAGACACAGCGAATTGATTAAAACACTGGAAGAAAAACACATTGGATCTGGAGTCCAGACTCTTGAAAACACTGACAAGGGAAAATACTCTTGATTCAATCGGATTTTTGCTTGAATCAAAACGAAATCCGCTTAAATTAAGAGGCTTGGTTCTTGATTTAAGCTAGATTCTGATTGATTCAAGGGTACTTTTTCTTGTCGATGTTTTTAAGAGTCTGGACTTTACATCGAATGTGTTTTTTTCCAGTGAAGAGGGATGATCCGTCAAGATTTAAATGACCAGAAGATGAGCTTCTAAAAGCTCGAAATGCGCATCGTCGTCTATTTAAGGAACACATGAACTCGAGAAGTGCGCATCGTGTTTTAAGCGCAGGGTTGCCACAAAAATTTGGAAATGATTTTCCCTGACTTTTCCAGGTTCTCCCTGACGAAAAATGTGGAAATTCCCTGACATTGAGAACGCGCGCCATGATCGCACAGCCAAATTTACACTTTGCTCGCTACCATCGCACTAATATAGCGTCTCATTTGAAACACGCTAAAGGTAAGGAGTTAGAAATTAATAGTAGAACATTTGGAAATACCTAACTCTTGAATGCATTGCGAGATATGCCACTTCACCGCAATTTATAGCATTGCGCATCAGCGCATTGCGTTCAAAACCGAAAAAAGAAAGATTTAAAGCAACTCGTGAAAATTGTCAATTTTTCCCTGACTTTTGGCTGTTTTTGGTCAAATTCCCTGACTTTTCCAGGTTTTCAAAAGCACTTTTTTCCCCCTGACTTTTCCAGGTTTTCCCTGAATTCCCTGACCGTGGCAACCCTGTAAGCGTCATTTACCTTCAGAAAAATGCATTCGCAAGTCGAAATTGGCTCATGGCTTAGTGACCCATTCTATTGTCGTTGTATTTTCAGGCTGTATTTTTGTGTACTTCATCCTGTAACTTGACTGAGTAGGTAATGCGGAACTTACCGGTGAACTTGGCGACTCCTTTGAGGGCGACAGCCTCGAGGATGACCGGCTCGCTGCGGCCCTTGGAGTTGTAGGAGAAGAGGAGGATCCTGTAGCTGGAGAAGAGGTCGGCGCCGTGCCAGTCGAACTGGGGCCGCGGGCTGGAGACGTTGAACTGGAGCTCCAGGCTGGGCAGCTTGAGGACCTCCATGAGGAAGGACTGCGGGAGGCCCCCGTCGAAGCTCTCCTCGCACTCCACCCGCAGGTAGGACACCGTCAGGTTCGACACCGAGCAGTTCACCAACGGAAGCGGCCGACCTGTAACACACCGGACGTCCTTGTCAGTCCCAGTTCGGCGATTCATCATTGGTGGATCCAACAAATGGACCACTAGACAAGGTACGAATTTAAACAATCTGATACATGTTTCTTAAGAAGAATTTTACATAGAACACGATTCACACAACGAAAATTACTGAAACAAACTCCTAACGAAGATATTAACGTTTTTATTTCACATTAGTTACGAGGAATTTGAACTGCCCGCTCACAAGAAACTCAAAGCTCTACGTGAGTCAAATCGCGCACTACAACGGTTTCAGCAAGCTTCTCAACCGAGCAATGTTCATTTCCCGCCATGTGTTTTTCAAACGATAAGCAATTTGTCATAGCTGAGCCAAAGCGTCAAGATTGAGGTTGCCAGATTTTTATATCGCAGAGACTGTCATGATAACGTTTAGCGCGCGATGTGAATCACGTAGAGCATTGAGTTTTCATGAGCGGGTGGTTTGAATTCACGCATCAGGAATCATTAAATATCTTCGTAAGGAGTTGATTTCGGTAATTTTCGTTGTGCGTATCGTATTTTACGTGAAATTTTGGTTAAGAAACATGCATCAGAATGCTGAAATTCGTACCTTGTCTAGTGGTCCATTGACAAGCTACAAATGGAGATATGTTGCATGTGTGAGGAATTGCGATTTAACTTTAGTCCAGGCGCCTGGTAGGTCTACCTGGAATTTTGGGTACACAGCGATTTTTTTGGCTTACTTTGTATTTTTTGGGTCGCTGAATCCGAATCTGAAGTTTCCTACCGCGTGTCTGGTGAGCGTTTTCTGCCACTTTGAAAAAATAACCTAAAAAGGCCTTTTTTGGCGGTTTTTTTTATATGGCGGCCACGCATGAGAAAAAATCCCGGATTTAGTTAATGTTTTGAATAGCTGACAAAATTTGGAAGAAAATGGTATATGAATATGTTAGGTTTGCTAAAAAATTGAGGAACCTCGGATCTCGGAACTTTGGAACGCTTCGGAACTTAGCTGACGAGCCGGATCACGCGTTAACGGGCGCGCCGCGAAAACGTGAATGGGCGCGATGTTCACGATGCTGTATCTTCCTCAATTTTTAAGCAAACCTAGCATATGATACGCCATTTTCTTTCAAATTTTGTCAGCTATTCAAAACATTAGCTAAATCCGGGATTTTTTCTCATGCGTGGCCGCTACATTAAAAAAACCGCAAAAAAGGCCTTTTTAGACCATTTTTTCAAAATGGCGGAAAATGCTCACCAGATACGCGGTAGAAAACTTCAGATTCGGATCCAGCGACCCAATAAACATAAAGTGAGCCAAATAAATCGCTATGTACCCAAAATTCCAGGTAGCCTCATTTTTAGCTACCAGGCGCCTAGACTACTGTGGATTCTTGCGTAAAAGTTTCCGAGAAAAACGATATTACCATTGGTTTTCTCTCAAATCAACTCCCAAGCTCTAAAAAAACTCTCAAGTTGAGGTCAAAATGAAGGAGATATCCCACGCTATCCTCAGAGTCCACCTCTACATCAAGAAAAACTCTCCATGCATATAGATAGGGAGAAAATACATTAGCAGGGTTGCCGTGTTTTCAGTTTTGAAGTCCTCAAAATAAAGTGGCAGCCCCGTCAATGTATTTGCTCCCTATCTTTGTAAGGAGAGTTTGTTTTGATGTAGAGGTGGACTCTCAGGATATCGTGGGATATCCCCTCCATTTTGGCCTCAAGTTGAGAGCTTTTTTTGAGCTTAAGAGTTGATTTCAGAGAAAACCAGTGGGATCAGATCATCGTGTTTTTCGCGAACTTTTATGTAAGAATCAACGGTCAAATCGCAAATTCCTCACACATGCAACATCTCCATTGCGTATACTATTTTCCGAAATTCGCAGACAATTTTGTACGCAATTCAATCTAAAATATCTAAAAAAGTCGAGGAAAGATATGCATGAATTCTCACGTATTTGGTGGCTGAAGTGCGAAACTTCGTATCTCTACTGTGGTGTTGCAACATTTTTGCTGCTGTATTATTTTTTTGAGGAAGAACATCAAAACCGTTAAATAGCTTCGTTAAGAGTTAGTTACCGTAATTTTTGTTGCGCGAATCGTGTTTCTCGTGAAATGTTGGCTGAGTATAACGTGTCGTAATAGTTCAATTCGTACTTCGTCAAATGGTCAATCACTAAAAGTAACACTCATCTAGGGCATCCAAGTTTTAATTTGCCACTGGAAGCAAGCATCGCGCCTTCAGTTTTGCGGATGCAACACGGACATCCATTAAGCGTGAATAGTTGTATCTTTGCGCCGTCATTAAAACATAAAAAGAGCAGAATTATGTTCTGAACTTTTATGGAGGGCATAGGCGCCAATTTCGCTCAGTTGTACTTAGGTTTTGTCGTCTAAAATATTTCTAAACTTATTTTACTGTACGTAGTTTATATTTTAGATACATTTTAAATATTCTTGTGATAGAATATTCTTGAGATACGGACAAAATACTAGGAGAAAACCGTCCACATTATTCAAATAGGTGAAAGTATTAATTCCACCCCGGCTCCATTCAAATGGGGCTTCTAACAGAAAGTTCTCGTGCATTGAATGTTCTCCCTTGCGTTATCAAATCAAATCAGCCGGAAGAACACCGTTTGAACATTCAGAAATTGCTTAACTTCTCACTCGAAAAAAAACACATTGGATCTAGAGTCCAGACTCTTAAAAACATCGACAAGAAAAAATACTCTCGATTCAATCGGATTTTTGCTTAAATCAAGAGCCAAGCCTCTTAATTTGAGCGGATTTCCTTTTGATTTCAGCAAAAATCTGATTGAATCAGGAGTATTTTTTCTTGTCAATGTTTTCAAGAGTCTGGACTCTAGATCCAACGTGTTTTTTTCCAGTGTTGGTGATAAAAACCGAATATTACCATATGATTCATGAAGATTTTTCTCTGTAATTTCCACAGTTCTAATCGCAATTTAATCTGATGGGTCCAAAAATTTCGAGGAAAAAGATTCATAACCATTCACAAAATTTGACATTGTGCCGAGAGAAATTTAGCAACGTTTGAATGCTCATACGGCGTCCTGCCTTCGCCTAAGGCAAGCTCCTCTGCGGTAACCGATCCGCAAATTTCATCGTTTGAGCGTCTACGGGTGAACTATGACTCCGCCTCGTAAACCTTAAGAAAACTAATCAACGCATGTCGAAAAACTTGCTCCGAGAAGCTGAGCCTGAGAGAGGATACACACTTGAAGAATATTGTCAAACAGAACTTGGCCTCCAGATCTGCGGAAAAGTTACCTACGCCTCTACTTCCAGGCTTGCCGACCCGTTTCAAACTTCATCTAGAGCAAAAAGAGGAAATGGCTCTTAAAGAAAATGACTCAAACATCACGATGAGCGCATTGGGAAAGTCTAAAAGAATTTCTGCAAAATTTGAGTGAAAACTTTGGAACTTAATTATCGGTTAGGTTAACAGTTTACCACTACAAAAAATACAAAAGTTTAGTTCTGTAAATATTAAGCTAGGCTCGCACCTACCCAGTTAGGCAAAATTGTAAATTCCTCCGTATTTCGTGGTAAAATTAGGACTCATTTAGAAAGTTATACAATTGAATTTTATTCGAGGTTAGCAACAATTATCCTGTCTATGATGATATTTTGAGGGATTCCTGAAGCCTCCCTTATTAAGCTTTTGCAAACTTTAGCTGACGGAAAAAGAAGAGCTGTCTAAAAGGCGCGATTAGCGCATCGGAAAAGTCTGAAACACACTCCTAACTTCTCAATCTGCGTAAAAGTATATTCGTTTTTGTCAGCTCCTTGCTTCAAAAATGATACTACGGCACAGGTGAAAATTTCGTATGAAGAGTCGTTCGATCCAACCCGCGATCCTAGCGCGAAACGCGCACTGACGCCTACAAACCTAAGGGGATACTTCAAGCACTGCGCAATGCGTGAAGTATCCCCTTAGGTTTGTAGGCGCTAATGCGTGTCCCGAGCTAAAAGCGCACTGTAAAGCAACAGAATATTCAACATGGCTAACGTTCCCGCTCGCAAACTGTGAGGAAGCACCATAAATGTGTATCAACGCAAGAAAAATGTAAATATAAACACGCCGTTTGAAAAAATCCCGTCTCGTTACTTGTGTTTTGGCCGGGTTGGCGTCGCGTCGGCCATGTTGCATATTGCGTAGCATTCAAATGCGCAGGGGTTGGATGGAATGACTCCTCTTACGAGATATTCACCTGCCGTAGTATAGTCTTTGAAGCGGGAAGTTTAAAAAACCGCATATTTCTAACGCAGATTGTGAAGTTAGGAGTGTATATGAGATTTTTCCGATGCGCTCAATGTGATTTTTGAGTCATTTTCTACACGAAATAGTTATTTTTTCTGCTCTAACTGAAGTTTGCAACAGGCCGATTTGCGACTATATTTAATTACCTTCCCGGTAAAATTCCAAAATTAAGAGAAATCTGCTGATCCTGCCTCAGACTCAGTACTGCCAACTAAAGTTTTAACTGCGCCGATGTCATGTCTGCGCGTGAAGTTCAAGAGTCCCTCGGTGTTCACATGAGAGCGCGGCCCACGTTTGGCAGAACTGTTCGGCTAAGCATTGGTTCATTTATTTTAAAGTTTTAAATAGCTCCCCAACTTAAAAACAACATGACGTCTCCTAGCTCAAGTTGTTTCAGACACTTTTTCGTCGAGTTTCGTTCGTTAGGCAGGGCTGCCAATCCTCAGGGCTCTTCTGATTCTCGATTTTTTTCGATCGAAATGCCGGGAACCTTTTCCAACTGTGCAACATCAACGTTTGACGCGCGTTTACTTACTTCCGTGAGAACACGATCTGAGCCCGTAATCTCTTAAGAATAGTTTAAAAGATCGGTAAAAGAGCGACTGGGGGAGTCTAAATTGGTTCCGTAGAGACTCATCTTTCCGGATAAAACACATAAATGCACTCAGTGTTACACCAACTCATTTCTCAGGGCATTTTGTTACAGTGAAACCTGTT